GGTTTCACTCACTCTTGAATAAATGCTGCAGTTTCATCACATTCTTCTTTTTATTGAGATGCAGGTGGTATGAGAGCCAGCACTGTTGCACCAAAAATAGCCATCTTGCAGCACTTAAAAATCTAGCAACTTTATTGTTATATACACTTTTAGGACCTAGAGCCCACTTTGCCAGCTGTGCCACAAACTAACAATTTTCCATTCATGTTTAAATTAAATAATTCAAAAGCAAAATTTCAGGAAAGAAAATCTACGGCACATTGCAAAAGAGGAAAATACAAATGTTAAAATAAAGATACCACATTATACAGAATGATTAAGTTGAAAACCTGTGAATACATGCTGTGACGTTTACCCCTTGTGGCCCCTGTTTGTCTCAGGAAACACAGAGCTCACAAGATTCCCAAACACTTCTTGACATGCTGCCACCAGTTGATCCCTTTTATCAACCTAGTTTACTCCGAAAAGATGAAGGTCCATTCAGTACTGTCTTTTTAATAAAACAGGGTTATTGATTATAGCTGGTTTCTAGAATCATTCATAAGCATATTCTTTTCGGTTCACCAAGCATTAATATTAATCTTCTATATTAAATGTAACAGGTTACTAATCACTCCTCAGACTAATCACTCCTCAGATCCCCAAACTATCTCCCTCTCTCTCTCTCTCTCTGATTCCAAACTCTGACTCAGAATCAACTTAGATTTAACTGACTCCTCCTCTCTCAAGCTACGCCTTTTAACATCTCTTGTGGCCCCACTTGTTAACCACATTAGCATATAACTCACGAATAATACATAACTTATTGCATAGCAAGGGTGAATGCTACATTCCTCCCCCCTTAAATATGTTTGTTTGGGAGGGAAACACGTTTTTCATCCTAAACAAACATGCATCATTGCATAAAAACTCTACTTACCATCTGGCACAATTTTGCAAACAATACAACATCTTATATATCAAACACAATATCTTATCACTCTAAACATTCCAATACAAATCAATAATATACTTTACCTTATCATTTATACTTACTACATTTAACATTTCAACCTTACAAAAATATAACATAATCAGGAAACTTTACATATGTAATTAACCAGTTAATCAATAGTCCATTCGAGTTTATTTTGAAAGTCTTTGAATCATTCTCTACATTTCAGTCCATCAATATTCAAATTTTCATCACTATACACAAACAGAACATTTATTGTACATTACCAATTTTGTTTATCTCCCCATTAGTCATTTGGCTTTCGAGGCAAGGTACCAGCATCTACGATCTGAGTCCCTTTTTTGCTGTGGATTACAAAGTCCAAGTCTTGTATGTCCCCGCTGTTATCTGCTTGGCACAGCACCTCTCCAAGTCCTATGCTCAATGTATCTGTGGCGATGGTGAACTCCCGCCTGTAGTCAGGTGTGCTATAGACTGGTCCGGTCATTATCACCTCCTTCAGCTGGTCACACGACAGCTGGCACTCGGGGATCTTTCTGATGATTTCTGGATCCTTCTTCCGTGTTCTCTTTGGTTGACTAGCAATCATCGGGCCTTCTGATGTCCACTGGATGTCCTCAGCTTGCTGTTTCTTTGTGAAGCCTGCTTTCTTTCTGGCTCTAGGTAGGGGTTTGCTTTGCAAGGTTTTATGGCCTTTTTCAGCTGCAGAGCTAATAGACTTGCTAGCCCTCCAGTGCTGGTGCAACACATCTATAGGTTCCGACTCTTCCAAAAGCAATTTACTCCCCTCTATAGATCTCAGTCCCACTACTTGGTCCTCAGGACAGAATGCTCTTTCCTGGGTCTCATACAAGCCTTTCTCCTTTCCAGGAGTACTTCCCAAGCTTGGCTCTGCCACTTCTAAGGACTTTTCCCTATATAAAAGATCCTTATCCAGGTAAGATCTCTCAGGGCATTCAGGAGACAATAAAGTAGGTGAACTGGCTGCTTCAACGCAACCCACCAAGCTAGTGTCCTCCTTCTGCTCCTGGGCAAAACTATTTTTATTTGGGGTTTTCAAAAGCATGAAATCAGCTTCTACACAATTATTACACTGGCTATCCAAGGAACTTTCTCCCTCCAGGCTTTCCTCTGCTACAGTATCCATTTCTACTGCAGTGGGTGATTTCTGGCCCCCTGGTGAGCATGTTAGTGCAAAAGCAATCTTAACATGCTCTATCAAGTACCAACCGATTAGAAAAGCAGCCAGTATTTCCTCCCTATGTTTCCCAGGGACAATTAGCTGTTGGTGGGGTCCTCCCCCTCTATGAGGTGCCTTTAAACCCTCTCTATATGTCAGGTCTTTATCAGTTATAGACCTCTCTGGGTGTTCAGGGGTCAGTGGAATGGGATTTTCTTTAGGTTTTCTAATACCATCATTTAACTGTTTTCATTCTGTTCATCAATACAGGGAGTATCATTAGGGTTTTTCAATATGACCTCCTCAGCCATTTTTGCTACCTCAGGGTTTTCCTCTAAACTGGGGCATTCCTGATTTGATTCAGAGATTAGGAATTCCATTTTTCCCTCTGGGATTGTTAACTGCTCTCCCAGGGCACATGTTACGCCAAAAAACTCTGCACATGCTCAATTAGATCTAGCCCGATTAAACAAGGTGCTGGAATTTGATCAAAAATTGCCACATCCCAAAAATCCAACCCAATCTCTATAGTTTATCTTTACTTGAGCCGGTAAAATCACTGGAGTAGAACTTATTCCCTTGATTGTAACAGTTTGGTTTGGAAGTATTTGTTTTTTAGGAACCACATCAGAGTTATTTTGGAACAGGTATCGCCAACTCCCTCATAAGAGTTCTCATTAATAAGAATTTCCTCACTAGGGTTCTGTACTAAAATATTTTCTATCTTTACAAGAAAACACTGAACGACCCTGGCTAGTGGCAGATCAGAATTCTCTGTTGTGGTATTTGCCATGGAGACAGAACCACCATTGTTACAACTTCCTTCAGTGGCCTCCACAGGCTTTAAACAGTAAACTTTCTTAGTTTGATTATCATCTTTTCCATTTTTATTTTTTTCATACAATTTGATTGAACATGCCCAAACTCACCACAGTTATAACACTGTTGATAAGTCATTCGCTCACTCTGAGGAGACCTATTAAACTTTTCCTCAGGGTTCACTCTCTTCAGCGGACTAGTCCCTGAGGGCAACTTCGGTGAGGTACTGGGCTGGCCTTCTTTCCCTGATGTTTCACATGAGGTAATTTTTTGGAAGGGTCTCTTATTGTTGTCCCAGTTTTGCCTGTTAAATTTTACCTCAGAGAACCTGGGGTCTCGGAACTCACTAATAGAACCAGCTTTTTCACCATCTTCTAGTAGAGTTTTAGGATTTTTGTCTTTAACAGTAACACAATTCCTCAGGCAAAATAGAATAAAATTGTTCTAACCCAATCACATTTTTCATCTGTTCTAGAGAAGTAACATTTTCATGTTCCAACCATTTGTCTAAATATTGAACCAAGTTAGCCCCTAGCAGAGAGTAAAATTCTTTAGACTTTTTGGTAAGGGAATGAAATGTGCTTCTCAGGTTTTCTGCGTTTATGCCAAATCTTGAATATACCATTTTTCTATCGGCTTCAAAATCTCTAACTTGCTCTAGAGGCATCTGAGAATACAGTTCAGCTAAATCCCCACTTATTTGGGATCTCAGAATTATCATCCTTTCATTATCCTTGATATCAAAGTCCCAACAAGCTCGCTCAAATGAAATGAGGAAAGATTCTGGGCAATCTCCTTTCTTATATTGGGGAAATTTCTTTAGATTAATTTTTGAAAGATTTCCCTCAATACAGCTGTTGTTATTGTTATTCTGAGCAGTTAATTCTAATTGCTTCATCTGTATTTGAAATTCCATTTCACTTTGTCTTAATTCTATTTGTCTGGCCTCGGCCTCAGCTTTGAGTTCTTGAGCTTTCTCTTCAGCTCTGGCTTTTTCTTTAATTTCCATTTCCTTGAGCTGTAGCTCCTTAGCTTTCTCTTCAGCTCTGGCTTTTTCCTTAATTTCTAATTCCTTCAATTTAAATTCCTGTTGTAATTTCCATTTTTCAAACTCTTGGGAGCTTAATTCCTTTTGTCTCTCTGAGGCACCCTCATCAATTTCCTCCTGTACCATTGGAGTTAACGGGTCACCATTTCCCTCCATTTCTTGAGGTAAACTCTCTTCTCCCGACTCCTCTTTTGGCTACGTTTGGGGGGGCATGTTTATTTCTGAGATAATTAATCTTGAGTACTGATTTTAAAAAGGACCTGTCTTTCTGCTTTGATTCTTCTATCTCCTCAGATCTGCTCTGACCTCTGGCTTCCACTTGTATCCACCAGCGCTCCCTTCTCTCAGAACCTTGGACTCAGAATCAACTTCTCACTCCTCTTTCAAGCTATGCCTTTTAACATCTTTTGTGGCCCCACTTCTTAACCATATTAGCATATAACTCATGAATAATACATAACTTATTACGTAACAAGGGTGAATGCTACACGTCTTCTTTATCTTAACTGATATTATGCGGGAAAAGCCTATACAGTACTCACTCCAGAGGGTCGCCATACGTCGGAGGCGACTGCAGGGCACATAACAACAGCGCTTGCTGCCGAGGGATGATGGGAAAGGCGCTGCTAGAGTACCGGTACTTCCAGCCAGCCATCGGTTTTTCCCTACGGCTTGTAAACTCGCGCGCTGAGGAGCAAGAAGAGCAAAAGCCGCACGTTCCTTAAACCCAAACACACTAGGAGGTACTGTAATACCTTCATTAGCCCACTAAAAAAAAAAAATTAAAAATTAAAAATGCGAGCTTTAGACTCATATAAGTCTTCGTCAGCCTGGACACCTCTCCACCAGGCAGCGGTGCCCAACGCTGACGAAGAAGAGCAACGTCTCTCTCCCGCGCTTGCCCGGCTGCCTCGTTTCCTCGCCCAGACAGAAAAGTGGGCGGAGCTCCGCTTCTCCGTCACAGAGGCCGGCGGGGGGCGGCGCGGCGAGAAAGTGGGCGTGGCCGAGGCTGTCGGTGCCGCGTCGTTCGAGGGTCGGGTCGTTGCTCCGCCTCCTCCGCCACGGAGGCTTCAGGAAGAAATTTCGGGAGGGGGAGGAAAATGGCGGCGCCCAGTGAGGAGCCGTTGGCGCCGCCGCCGCCGCGCTCGCTGCAGTCTTCCGCGACGGGCGGTTCGTCCTCGTCCTTGCAGGGGTTGAGCGGAGGCCCCGGGCCCAACCCGTTATCGCGGAAGCTCCGCAAAGTGCTGGAGACGCGGCTGGAGGCGGACAAGGTGAGCGAGGCGAGGGGACGGTACCTTCCTAGGATTGGGATTGGGATGGGGAGGTGGGGTTGAGGCCTTGGCTGCTTTTCAGGTAGCTCCTTCCTTCCCTCTTCTGGGCACAGGGAATAAAGTATGTGCGTGTTCTGTGCCGTCAAGTCTGAACCGATTTATAGCCACCCTAACAGGGCTTTCAAGGTAAGGGGGTTATTTAAGGAGTAGCTTTATCAGTTCCAGCTTCCCCCCATGAGTTTCCATGGCTGAATGGGGATTAGAACCTTGTTCTCCAGAGTCCTCGTCCATCGCTTCATCCACCACACCACACTGGGCGTGACCAGTAGCATTTAATGAGGTTCTGTTTGTCAAGTGAGCTGGTTTCTAAAGTGATCTGAAATGCATTTTATCCCCATAACATTTAATTTCATAATGGATCTAAGTGTCCTTATTTAAAAAAAAAACCTGCACATCAGATCTATTCATCAACATATTTGCTCAGAGGCTAGCAGGTGTAGTCTGTGCCTTGCCAATGACCATCTGCCTTGTAATCTGAATGGAACCCTTGATTGTGCTTTAGTGACTACTGTACACTTAAAGACTGACAGCTGAGTGTGTGAAATAGCTCCATTAAAAATAACTGTTTTTCTATTTGGTTGTGCTGGCTGGTGTTTGTGTAGTGGAGTTTGCAGTCCAACTTAATTGAGACCAAAGCTTCTCTTTGGTCTAACCACAGTGTGCTTCTGTACATACAGATTGCATCATAATAGATTCTGCTCTTCATAGCTTTTTTGTTATCTGCTATGAAGTTGTTTACATCTAATGATAGCCGTATGAATGAATTAACTCCCAAAGTTCTATTGTCAATAGCCTTTCTCAGGCTTAGCAAACTAAGTACTGCAGTTTGTTTTTAGTAAATCCATGATGGGTCTTCTTTTCCCCCCCCTACTTTGTTCAGTTTTTCCTTGCATTATTGTCTTTTCCCATGAGTCTTGTCTTCTCATGATAATGTCTAAAGTATTATGGCCTCAGTGCAGTAATTTTTCTTTCTCATGAAAATTCAGGCTTAATTTGATCCAGAACCCATATACAGTGGTGCCCCGTATAGCGAGGTTAATCCGTTCCGGATTAACCTTCGCTATACGAAAACATCGCTGTGCGGGTAAGGAAAGCCTATTGGAACGCATTAAACTTAGTTTAATGCGTTCCAATAAGCGTCCAAACTTACCCCTCCAGCGATGTTTTTGCGTCCGGTGGCCATTTTGGAGCCGCTGATCAGCCGATCATTAAAATGGCCATTAAAATGGCCACGGATGGCCCAAAATGCCCCCCGCAGCGTTTTCGCGACCTCCATAAGCAAGGGGAGGGCGCGAAAACACTGATAGGGGGCTATTTCGGGTCATCCGGCGGCCACTTTGGAGCTGCCGATCAGCTGTTCGGCGGGTCCAAAATGGCCGCCAGACGCCCCAATCGTCGCAAAGCGAGTGCGGCGATTGGGGCAGATCCGTATAGCGATCCCCAAAAAGGGATCGCTATACGGATTCTTCGTTAAACGGGGCGCTCGTTAAGCGAGGCACCACTGTATGTCTTTCTTTCAGTTTATGATATTGTAAAGCTCTTATCCAGCACAACATTTTGAATAATTATGCCAGTTTTCTTCATTGTCCAGTTTTCACATCTGTCTATAGCAATTAGAAATACTACAGTATGGATCATGTGGACCACTGGTTCCCACCCTAGGGTCCCGAGATGTTCTTGGACTGCAACTCCCAGAAATCTAGGCCGGAAATCCAGGCCAGTAGTAAAGGCTTCTTGGAGTATTAGTCCAAGAACATTGGGGGTCCAAGATTAGGAATCACTCACCTAGACCTTGTTCACCAGCACCTTACCTTTACTTTTAAAGATATTTTCTAGTCCCCTCATTGCTGCTCTTTTAAGTCTGTCAGCTTCTCATTTCTTGGCTGTAGTCTCCATTTGGATTAATGATTGAACCAAAATGTAATATATCTGGTGTATCTTCATTTTCTGAATCCTGCTTGAACATTTGGCATTTCTACGTCCATATACAATGAAAAGTATTGATGTAATGTTTCAGAAGGATGGATTTTTCCTACAAAACGTTATGACATGTTATAAAATCCACTCTCATGCATGACACAAACTGCATCATAAAGCTTGGGAAGAGATCTCTGACACAATGTCATAGTAAAAAGAACCCCCCCCCTTCTCATAACTCTTATAAAAAGCAACCATCTCTCTCCTAATACAGTGATTCCCAGCCAAGGCTTTTGGGAATTTTAGTCCAAGAATATCTAGGGACCCAAGTTTTGGAATCACTGTTCTAATGGATCACATTCATGCCCATGGGATGCCCAGTGGGGCTGAAAATTGGAGCATACATTGGGTTTGACTGAATATTACTGATAAGGTGCTGGAGCTGTGATTTTTACAGTACATTCTATGGGTTATGTAGTCTGATCTGTTTCTGAGTAAAAACCACATAAATCTGTAAAGATTTCTGCCTCGGATTTAATATCTTGAGTTGTAGTATTGCTGTTAAGTATTAAGTTTTCTGAATTCTGTACCATAGCTGTATAGGCTAACTATGGATAGCCTATTCATAGGAGTATAAGAGGAATATACTGTAGTTCTGTGGGCCACACAATTAAATTAAGCTTCACATGTAGCCTGTAGGGAATGTACGTGACATGAAACAAGATGCTGATTTTGCATGTAAAGACAAGAAAAAGTGTCTTAGGGTCTATGTTTTTGTACTGTAATGGTACCATGAACTGCTTGTGTTATATTATCACTTTTACCCTATCTGAACAAGTGTATGTGTATATGTAAAGAGTATAACTTTTACACACAAATTGCCATAAGAATATCTGTAAATGTTATCTGCTGCATACTGAGTCATGTGACTCAATTGGAAACAGATAATGTCTGCGGAGATTTCCTGACTTATAGCAATTTATGTCTAAAAGTTAATCTGTTTGTCTAACTGCAGGAAGATTTCAGCCATTAAGTTAAAGGGGGCTAAGTGTCAATGGGCAGTTTTCACAATGGAGAGAAGTGAAAAGCGGTGTGCCCCAGGGATCTGTCCTGGGACCTGGGCTTTTCAACCTGTTCATAAGTGACATGGAGACAGGGATAAGCAGTGAGGAGGCCAAGTTTGCAGATGACACAAAACTTTTCAGGGTGGTGAAGACCAGAAGGGATTGTGAAGAGCTCCAGAAGGATCTCTCCCTACTGGGAGAATGGGTGGCAAAATGGCAATTCCTTTTCAATATAAGAAAATGTAAAGTAATGCACATTGGGGCAAAAAAAAAAAATCAAAACTTTAGTTCTCAGCTAATGGGTTTTGAGCTGTCTGTGATGGATCAGGAAAGAGATCTTGGTGTGCTGGGGGACAGCTCGATGAAAGTGTGAATCCAGTTTGCAAACTGGCAGTGAAGAAGGGGAATTCCATGCTAGGTCTGATTGAAAAGGGGATTGAAAATAAAACAACCAACATTATAATGCCATTATATAAAATGCTGGTGAGGCCACACCTGGAGTATTCGTACACTTCTGGTCACTGCACCTTGAAAAAGACATACAGTGGTGCCTCACTTAGCGATGTTAATTCGTTCAGAAAAAATCGCTGCTAAGCACTTTCATCGCAAAGCGAAATAAAAAAGCCCATAGAAATGCATTAAAACGCGATTAATGCGTTCCTGTGGGCTTAAAACTCACCATTGAGCAAAGATCCTCCATAGCGCCGCCATTTTCGGTGCCTCTAAAGTGAGGAATCCGTCCCAAAAAACAGTGGGCGGCCATGTTTTTCCCCCAGCAGCCATTTTGAACCCGCCGATCAGCTGTGCGAAAATGGGGGCTTTGCGATGATTGCTTCCCTGCGATCATCGCAAAGCGAAAATACCCCATAGAGAACATCGCAAAGCGATCGCTTTTGCGATGGCAAAAAGTCCATCGCAAAGCGATTTTGTTGCTAAACGGAGCGATTGCTATGCAAGGCACCACCGTAGTGGAAATAGAAAAGGTTCAGAAGAGACTGACTAAAATGATTACATGGCTTGGGCACCTCCCTTATGAGGAAAGGCTATAGTGTTTGGAGCTCTTTAATCTAGAGCAAAGGTACCTGAGGGGGACATGATTGAGATGTATAAAATTATGCAGGGAATGAATGAGGTGGATAGAGGGAAACTCTTACGCAGTCCCAGAACCAGGGGACATCCGCTCAAATTGAGTGTTGGGAGAGTGAACAGAAAAATATTTCTTTATCCTGTATGTTGTTAATCTGTGGAACTCTTTGCCACAGGATATGGTGATGGTATCTGGCCTAGATGCCTTTAAAAGGGGACTGGACAAATTCTTTGAGGAATAGTCCATCATAGGTTACAAGCCATGATAGGGATGTATAATCTCCAGGCTTAAAAGGAAGGTACTTCAAAATACCAGATGCAGCGGAGGGGTATCAGGAGACAGGGATCTCATGGTCTCGTGTGCTGCCAGAGGCATCTGGTGGGGCCCCTGTGAGATATAGGAAGCTGGCCTAGATGGGCTCTTGGCCTGATCCAGGAGGGCTCTTCTTATATTCTTATGTTAATATACTTTAATTATTTTTGCAATATATTTTTATATATCCTTTACAGGAAATGTTAGAGGCACTCAAGGCTCTTTCCACCTTTTTTGTTGAAAACAGTTTACGTACCAGAAGAAATTTGCGTGGGGATATTGAACATCGAAGTTTAGCTATAAATGAAGAATTTGTCTATATTTTCAAACAAGTGAAAGAGGTATGATATTTTTAAAAATTAGCTCTAAATGTCACACATAGGGTTGACATAAAACTATTTTTTTCTTAAGGAAATCTATCCAATATTATCTGTGATTTATTTTTTTCAATGTGTTATTTTTATTGTATAGTGTTCTAAATACATATTCCGTTTGAAGTAAGACAAGTTCATATTTTTCTGTGTAGGTAGCATATACAGTATCTTTAATGAAACAGTATAGATCTTGGACACCTTAATATACATCATTTGGGTTTGATTTGAAAGATATGCAGCATAGAATCTTATATCCATTTATGTTCTTTCTGCAGTTGCCTTTTTTTCACCAGAAATGGAGGAAAGACAGGTCAGAATTATTGCAGCAAGATTTAACACAACATAACAATATTTAAGCACTGTCTTGCTGAGCAGTGCAAACCTCTAAATGTTTACTCAGGAGTAACTCACTATTCATAGAGTTGTTGTTGTTTAGTCATTACGTTGTGTCTGACTCTTCAGGACCCCATGGACCAGAGCATGCCAGGCCCTCCTGTCTTCCATTGCCTCCCGGAGTTTGGTCAAATTCATGTTGGTAGCTTTGATGACACTGTCCAACCATTTTGTCCTCTGTTGTCCCCTTCTCCTCTTGCCTTCACACTTTCTCAGCATCAGGGTCTATTCCAGGCAGTCTTTTCTTCGTATGAGATGGCCATCTTTTAAGATTTTAAATAGTTCAACTGGAATGCCATCACCTCCACTGACCTTGTTAGCCATGCTTTCTAAGGCCCACTTGACTTCACTCTCCAGGATGTCTGGCGCAAGGTCAGCAACCACACCATCTGGGTTGTCCAGGACATCCAGATCTTTCTGGTATAATTCCTCTGTGTATTCTTGCCACCTCTTCTTGATGTCTTTATCTTTGATGTCTTTATCTTCTGTTAGGTCCTTCCCATTTTTGTCCTTTATCATGTTCATCTTTGCACAAAATGTTCCTTTAATAGCTCCAAGTTTCTTGAACATATCTCTGGTTTTTCCTTTCTCTTATTTTCCTCTATTTCTTTGCACTGTTTGTTTAAGAAGGCCCTCTTGTCTCTCCTTGCTATTCTTTGGAAGCATGCATTTTATTTTCTGTAGCTTTCCCTATCTCTCTTGCATTTTGTTTCCCTTCTCTTCTCTGCTACAGTGGGGTCTTGACTTACGAACGGCCCGAGTTACGAACATTTTGACTTACGAACCACTCTCATAGGAAAATATTGACTTGACTTACGTACTTAGATTTGAGTTACGAACTGAAAAAAAATTGAAAAAAACCATGTGGGAGGCAGGGAAAGTGCAAAATTTGAACTTTCAGTTAACTGTTGGCCAGTGAAAAGGGTGCCTGTCTGCTTCCTCACTCCTCCCAGCGTTTAGAGAGTGGATTGGGAGACAGTCTTCAGACTGCCTGGTACTG